GCTTCGTCAACGGGGAAACCAAAGGAAGCAGCTACTGCTACTGCAAAGGAGAAGCCAGGCCTGCAGTAACTGTTGCTGTGCCCCCACACAGCTTCTCCCCCACTAGGTGAGGCTGTGGCTGAGCCAACAAGAAGCTCACAGCCCAGGCGGCTGCATTCACCCCCTGCAGAACCTCCAAGGAAACCCTGGGGTGCATGCTCCCAGTGCCAGCGAATGTCACTGCAGGCTTCCTCTGCTGCCAGAGCTCTTCCACCCTCCTCTACAGCAGCTCCGCTGGGAATGACTAAAATTGGACTAAATGGTGGCACCTGCACCATTCTTTATGGCGTTGCCTGCTTGGATTGACATGACCTTCCTATCACTGGGCACCCAGTGAGCAGCACAGGCCAAGCATCTTGAGGTTGCTGGAATTCCCAATGGACTGCAAAGAGCTTCCTTCACAGGCTGTACTTAGTGGCCAATGGTCTTTACCCAACAGAGATGTCAGGGCTGAGCAGATGATAGCTGGAAAGCTTGCCTTCTTTCCCCATCAGCCTTCTGGGGTAGTACTTAACAGTCTCACTTCCCTGTAATGCTACTAACAACACAGCCCCCATCCGCAGCCCTCAGCGTCCTGTGAGGCAGGCTGGCTCAGTAGAGAAACATCCATTCATCTCTTGGTCTGTGTCTGGCCTCCTGCTTCTCCCAGACTTGTCAGCCCCCTGATTCAAAGGGCTTCCCAGTGTCTTGGGTCTGGCAGCTCTAGGTCAGCCAGGGTGCTGGACAGGGAATTCAAGAGACAGCAACATCTCCTGCTGATTGCTAGGGTTGGCTGCTCTTTGGGAGCTCAGGGGCAGCCTCTCAGGATGCATGGGCCCTGAAAGGGGAGGGCCATATGCCTGTTGGTAGCCCCACTGAAGTCTGTGGAAACCTTGTGGTCTGTCCGTGAATGCTTGTTCTTGGGGATGTCTCTGTCTGTGCCTTCAAGAGCCCACAACTGCGAATGCCTGAGCTTGCAGTAAGTGGTGGGAGACTGCTGGTGTGTGTGAGATATGTCCCGTGTTGCTTCTGGACGATGGACCTATACGAGGCACTGACAGCCATGACTCGGGAGAAGCCAGGTGTGAGCAGCCTGGCAGCTGATTGACTATGCAGGCTGGGAAGGTGACACAGCTCCCTGTGGGTCCCTGTGTCATGGCTTGAAGACCTTCCTGTCTCTCAGGACACCTCACTGTTTCAAGCAGAGCTTTGTAAGCCTGTCTGTACCAAGCACAAGTAGAAAGCACTTGACAGCAGGTGTCAGCATGAATGTGTTTTGTGTGTGCGGTCATGCCCATTGCATGGGAGAGTGTGCATCTTGCAGAGGGTATTCCCCAGCAGGGCATGAATGGGGGAGGGTAAGCATTTGGAAGGGAGACCCAAGTGATGGGTAAATGAATGGAAAGCCAGGTGGCAGATGGGTGGATGTGCTTCTGGCTGTGGCTGATGGCCTCTGGTGGTGGTGTAGCACTTGCTTCCCTGTTGCTGTGCCCTGGACTGGATTTGTGGGGCACTCGCCTAGTGTTGCCCCGCTGGCCGAGCAGTGAGAGGCTCTCTGCATGTTACAGACATGTCCCTGGAGGAGGTCCGTGCCTTCGAGACTCAGATGCAAGTGGCCACAAACCAAAAGTTCGGAAGCCAGGACCCTTAGCTTCCTGCCTGCCCAGCTCGCCCAGGACCTCCCTTTGTATGTACCTTCCATTTGGTTTTCTCTTTCTCCATGCGGCCTCATGGTTCACCCCTGCCCCTTCCCGTTCACAGAGTGAACTCTGGGGCAGCCATTCTTTACACTGGGGTCTGGCTGGGGGGGTGGCCACAGCCTGGGGAGGGTGCGTGGTCTGGATCAGAACTGAAGCATGTGCTGGACTGTGGGCAAAGGAGCTGAATCAGAGGGTGGCGCTCATCCTCTCTTATGCAGGGCAGTGCTCAGGCTTTTCTGCAGTGGGGGCTGTGGTGGGACATCAGAGTATCTGCCATAGTGTTTTTATGTGAGGGCTTCTCCTTGACTCTGCAGGGAGCTCATCATCCCCCACAACAAGAGGTGACTGTGCTGGGGATGGATGAACCTGGTCCATAGCTGTGAGCCCACAGTGCAGCTGCTTGTTAAAACAGGATAGAGGCCGCACAGAGAGGAACATTTATACATAAGTAGGGGAGATCCTGGGAGCTCTCAGTGATCCCATGGCAAACGGACCACATGTTTCACCTGGAGCAGCCCCCATCAGAATGGCTTGCATTGGGGGGTGGCATTGAGTTGGAGCTCACAGGAGAAGTTCAACAGCTGTATGGACAGAGCAGATGCCAGGTTTGCTTCCCCAGGGCAGATGTGCAGATGCACCTTAAGCCTTCTGTGCACTCCCCCTGCTTCAGCAGCCTGGGTCACATGGCTCTACCAGTGCGCCTCCCTCTGCTCCCACCATCTCCCTGCACATAGCTTTGCCAATGCACCTCCCTCCTGCCTGCACCCCCCGCATTCCACTCCTGATCCCTCCCCAGTGCTACACTTCATTCCTGCCCTGCAGTGTCCTTGCCATTCCAGTATGCAACCTTTGCAAGGGAGTTCAACAACCCACAGTGGAAGCCTGGGTACTGATGACCTCAGGGACCTGGCAGCAGGCAGACAGCACATAGGCAGGCCCCATGCTTCTTTCTTGACCTGGCCTCTCGAAGAGTCAGGAATCAAGGCCATCTGCCTACTGCTGTGTTCAACAGCCTCCTTGAGGTGGTTTCTCTGCTGTTGACCCAATCCTATTGCCCTCTGCTTCATGTACTGCATCGTCCCTTAGAGCTTCACACCCAGGGATGTGTAGAAGTAAGTCATTGAAGGGTGAATTCCCTGTAGAACCTCAGCGTCAAAGCTTGGGGAAGTCCCCTTCCTTCTCATGCTGATCTCAGCCACAGCCCTGACACTGGGCAGCCTGGAAGATATGCACAGGACAGTAAATTAAATCGACCCACGCAGAGCTCAGAACCAGATCTGAAAGCTCTGGCTTGGTCGCCTCTGCTGCCCTGTTCAGCCTATTAGAGATAAGAGCTAACTACTGTTACAAGTCCCTTGGAAAATGTATTCCCATGGGGAAACTTGGCCTTTAAAGTCATCTTTGACTCCTCACAACAGCTAAAGCATATTTCCTGGGTCTTCTGAAGCAGTTCAGTCTTCTCAGGCCTGTTGCGAAGAAGATGACACAATAGCTAACCAGGTTGCAACAAGGAAGAAAAACTACATAAAACTAGGACAGACTCTCCCAGGGCAGCAGAGCTTTGCCCAATCATGCAGTGTTTACTCAAAGCAAGGCACTCAGATACCAGGGTGATACACCCATCCTGGCAGCAGGACAGAAGTAGAAGCTAAGGAATTGGTTTGTTTTATTCTTCCTGATGGATCTTTGCTCTTGGCCAAGGTGGTCATGGGAACCTCAGTAGAGACAGCTCAACAGGTGCTTCAGCAAGTCTCAGCTCCACAGCATAATGCCCTCTGAGGAAAGGAACCCAGCAGGGGTGAGCTGGAGCTTCTGCCCAGCCTGCAGCCCATCAGCCACCAGCAGCACCTGTTCTGTACAGAGCCTGTGCATCACATGATGCTGATTACTCTTCCTCACTCACAGCTGCTGGATCATGTATTCAAAGAATACCTCATTCCTTCCCTGACCTTATTTTTCCATGGAAGGAACAGCTTTAGTTGCCACAGGGACATTGCTGCATCCCCAGTTGGAGCAGAGATGGTCTGTGGAATTGTATGTGAGAGGGGAGGTAGCAATAAAGCAACTTCTATTGTGTGGTCCACACTACAGAAAAATTAGAAACCTAAGGAAAACTACTGTTTCTGAGACTGAAAAAGATTCTCCATCCCCCTCCAGTGAGTAAGTCTCCCCAGGCTGTAGTTTCAAGCTCAACATCTCATCTGTGGCTTTGGCCTTTAGGCTGATAGGACTGTAGGTTTCCACCCCCTGGACCTGCAGGCTATTTTAGAGACAGCAGTAAGGGGCACTGTATAAACATCTTCATGGATTAGGTGAGAGATGCTGGAGAGAATTGCCTCCAGCCACAGCAGCAGCATCCTCCTCCAGGGACACTGCCTTCTGGGATAGGTAAGCTGGTAGCAAGGTGAGGACTATAGGGAGAAGGACACCCCTCGTGGCTCAGCTAGTAGATGCAGAAGCTGGCTTGTGCCCAGCACATGAACACAAGGGGTCTGGCCGCCCCATGTTGCTGACACACTTGGGGAGTGTTGCTCACCCTTCACTCGCCTGCTTTGTCTCGCATACTCCAAGCCCCCAAACCTCCCTTGTGGCTGTGCTCAGGATGTCTCTCCAGTGCATGTGAGAGCCACTCCCAGAGCAGTCTCACCCCCGTGTTCCCTTGTTTGACACATCCAAGCAGAAGCAGACGGGTGGGTCCTCTCTAGCCAGCCTGTGAACTCTGCTTCTGTTTACCCCGGCAGGAATGACAATGGAGGAGGTGCGCAAGTATGAGAGGGAAACCCAGGAAGCCACCAACGAGATCATTGGCGTGGTCACACCCTCCATTTCCATAAGCGAGGTGGGGCAAGCTCCGGTCACGCACAGTGCCCCAGCCAGTGCCCCTTCCACACCGCTCAGTGATGATCCCCCGGACTTCCTCAGCTCTCCCAAGGACAGGCCCCGGAAGAAATCTGCTCCGGAAACACTGACACTGCCAGCCCTGCGGGAGCGCGCCAATGCTGAGTAATGGCTGCCCTACAGACATGCTCGGTGGACAGATGCTTGGCCCTCATTTCCCACCCCTCAGATCGGGGCACCCTACCCACTTTGCCTGCCTTGAGAAACATAAAGACTACCGCTGCCCCCAACATCATTCCTGCCCCTTGTCCCCAATAAAAAAGACAGCAGATCCTATTGTGAGCCAGATGGGAGAAGCCCCTTTGTGAGGTCCCAGATTTCCCTGCCATCACATGGGCCTTGGGCTCCCCTCAACCTGCTACCCAGCCCCACTCTCTTCTCATCATTCCAGCACATGCCCTGCTTTCCCTGCCGTCGGTTCAGGGAGGAGCTCCAGCATGTTGGAGCCATTCCTTGGCCCATCTGTAGACAGCTCTGTCCTGGCAGGTAACGTCCCTCAGAGCTGCTTTTGCTAGAGCCAGGTGGCAGCCGGTGGCAGCCCAGCCCTTCTCTGAAGGAACTTGGAAGCACCTTTCAGACTGTTGATAAAAACCGCCAGGCATTGATTGATCTCGGTTCCCACTGGCAATGAGACCCACCAGGATGTTTAACCTATGTCCTTGCCACCTCCTGAGGATTTCTGACTGTACCTCTGAGCTTCACAGTACCACAGCAACCCTGAGTCCACCAGCATCCAGACTGTAACTCTGCAGCTGTGCCAATGTCACCCGTGTCCCTCCAGCTTTGACAGGAGGGCAGAGATGAGTTGTCAGGACTGCTTCTCCTGTTCCTAATGTGATGCTCCAGGCCACTGGTGAAGAGCCAGCATCTCAACCATCTCTACTCTGGGGACCTTTTCCACCTGTCACTAGCACTGGTTCATCCAGCACTAGCAGTGTTGTAGTGTGGAAAAGGCTGTGACGCAGTCAGTTGATCCCCTTCTAAGCAAGGGATCATAGGACTGGCGGGGCTGATTTTAGTCACGTTTGGGCTGTGGAAAACCTTCCCTGCAGAGTGGAGCATGGCAGCCTGGGTGTGAATGAGGAGCCCACTTGGTATGAAGCCACTGTTGACAAGACACCATCACTGAGTTGCGGCTCTGGATTAATGCTTGTCATAGTAGGACAGGCCTAGCCATTGTCCCTAACATAGACAAGCCCAAAAAGTACTGCTTGCCATGTCTTGCCTCTGTCCTTCCCAGGTGAGCCTTTCCTGTGTCCAGAGTTGTGTTCTTGGTCTTGCCAAGGCCCTTTACTTTCACCAGTCCCCTCCAGAGTCCTGCAGCAAGAAGGGGTGAAGATCTGTCCATCCCAACCCACCTAGCCTTCTGCCAAGCAGCCTTCTCCCCACTGGTGCCTTCAGGACAAGGGTCATCCCTGCGCCACTGCTCCAACAAAGATTTCTGGCAACTATTTGGACCCATGGCTGGACCCGCTTCATCACCAGCTATTTCCATTGCCCTCCAGGCACCTGGACTTAGCCTCCAAACTGCCTCACACTCACTCAGGTCCCTGAGGAGTGGGTCCCATCATAGCTGGGCCTGCGGGGTATGTCAACCATGGGTACTGAACAAGTGCAGACTCCAGCTCCAAGTGCATCCAGCACAAACCAGCTGAGCCTTCATGCTGGGTTTGAACCTCAGATACAAGCACACACTGAATTGCACTGATTCCTAAACAGGAATCCCCCAACCCTCTGCCCTCTGCTTGGGCCTCAGCACAGGTCCCTTTGTTCAAGTATTTTTTAACTGTCTTCGCTACAGTTTGTGTCCTGGACAAACAGAAATGGAACAGCCAACCTCTCCTCCAGGAAACTACATGCTGCTGATCGATCAACCAAAGGTCTACATGGGATGCAGCTCTGCCAGCTAATTTGGATGGGCCAAGTCCAGGTGAATCTGCTGTGCTCCCATGATGTGCAGAATGCTGTCCGCATGGAACCTGGGGCTTGGGAGGGACCTCGGGGGTCATCTGCTTCAACACCCTGCTCTGTACTTTCCACTGGGGGTTGAGGGTCACCAGCACCATACATGGTGGATCATGCCTCTGCTGTGTGATATGAGCCACTGGAAGAGTAGCTTGGAGGCTGGTTGGGATTCAGGTATCCCTTTGAAGCATTAGGTCATGACAGGAAAAGGCTGGGTCTGGAGGAGCCCCCACAGGGTTGGCTGCTTCTCCTAACTTGTCAGAACCTCTAGGGTCTGCAGAATGGGTCTGGAAGTCTAATAGGAACAGGCTCTGACTATTTTATCACCTTTGCCTCTGGATGGAGCCAGGATGGCCAGAGGCCTTGTGAACATGGGAGAAGTTTTACTGATTGTTTGTGGACCTTGGACAAGGTTGTGCTTAGGTCTGGGGAGAAGGTGAGGGGTAATTTTTAATTGGATTCTAGTTTGGCCTCCTCTTCAACCCAGACTGTGGAAAGGGCCAAAGGAGTCATGCAGAAAACCTGTTCGCTGTAATGGAAAGGAATGGTCCCACAAATGACACTGAGGGACTGGGTATTTAAGATGGGCCATGGCTGGATTCTGAACCCCTTCAAAAGGGAAGGACTTGGCTTGGGAACATGGCATCCACCCACACCCATGGGCTCTGGGTCAGTTCCACACTGGAAGGGATCTGTTTCCTGTTCTAGTCTGGATGTAGCCGAATCTCCCCAGAAAAGCCATGTGGCAAGATTTTGCACCATCACATTTGCACTGAGGCCCAGCATTTTGCTTTGGTTCTAAGTCAAGAGCCCAGCTCTGTACAGGTTGAGCCTGGTGTCCTCAGCCCATCTCTTCTGAATGGTATTTTCCCTTGCCAAACAGATTTTAAAGCCCCTTCTCATGTCCCCTGAATTGTATGCCCCTTGCCCAAGCTTTGTACAGAATGGGCTAGAACCTGTCCCTAGGTTCCTTGGAGCCTGAGCCTTGTTCTCTGGGGCTCAGACCCTTGTGAGGGGCTCGGTCTCTGCCTCGCCTGGAGCAGATGCAGCATTTCCGTCTGGACTTCTCTGTGTTGTGTCTTTAATTCTCACCCCTCAAGGGTTTCCCCTTTATGCCCACCTCTTGGGCTGTGGAAAGCCTGTGTGAGGCTGTTGGTATCAGCCTTGGGTATATGTGAGCTTGTGTTTTCCTCCTGCAGCCAGGCTCCTCTGGCTCTTGCCCCTGGACATTTTGGTTCGTCTCACGCATGCGTCCAGGTCCCAAGGCCTTCCTGATATGCCCACCGTGGAGCTGTGCAGTAGCTGGTGATGGCAGGGGCTGCACAGAGAGGTTAGTTCTAGTGCTGTGCAGGAAGGATAGAGGCAAGTGCTGGAGCTGAGGGGACGATGCTGTGGTGCCTAGCCCTTTGCAGTGGGCACCTGAGGCTGATGGTTCTGTCTCTGCAGAGCCCCTCATCCCTCCCTCCCTCCCTCACTGCTTGGAGCTTTGCTCTGCACCCCGTACCTGGAAGCAGGGATTTGCTGATGACCAAACCAAGCATGAGCCAGGAGGAGCCAGATGTCTGTGGGGTTGAATGTATCTTGTATGAATGTACCAGATGATGTAGCATTCCCCACCCCTTCCCCTGCCCCACCCAGCCTGTCTCCTCTCTAGCCTCCTGGATCCTCAGGAGTCTCTTTATTTCTCTCCTGCCCGGGGTCCCCATCCCAGGAGGCAGCTGGTCACTGTGAGTTGGAGAGTCCTCAGGGCCCAGCCCCAGCTCCTGGAAGCTCCCTCCCAACAGACACTTGTGAAGCGAGAGCACAAAGGATTTTTCCTGCTCAGAGGCCAGGCCCCTGCTCCAGAAGGTGTGAGCATGGGACTTGTCCCCGCCACTCCTGCCTGTCACGAGGCCCATGGGCCCCACCATCTCCAGCAACACAGTCTGGGCCTAGGGGGAGCAGGCTTGCCCTCGAAAATGCTAACATCCCCTGGTGTCTGCTTCAGGCAACGTGAATCGTTCCTCATGAGCTAGTTCCTTACTGATTGCCCTTGCCACTTACTGCTCACTTGGAGGCCACTTGTGTTTGGAGGGGGCGAGGCAGTGGCTGGCTCAGGCCTTGGCTTTCTTTGTTACAACAAAGGCCTTTTGAGAAATAAAGCGAAAGAAGCTGCTGCGGCTCCTCTCTGCTGTTTATTTGTCCCCTCTACATCTCCCACTGCTGCCATGAGCCCCTCCTGGCTGTGGGAGTGGGTGGCAGGGGAAGATGGCTGAGGGGAGTGATCCAGGGCCAGTGACACGCACACTCCTGAAGCATTGGGCAGAAGAGGAACAACAGGGGGATCAGGACAGGGCGATGGCCTGTGAGTATATAGAAATGATGCTTCTCCTAATGCTGCAATTATCACAGCAATTCACCCATTAGACTGAGAGATAAATGAACTAAGGCAGACACCATGGTGAAGAGACCATTGTGTGTGTGCTGCTAAGAACCGTACCTGGAAGCCCCCAGCACCTCCCCTGGCTGTGATCTTTGAGGGTCACCAGGGCGGGGAACAAGGCCTGAAGAGCAGAGGAGACTGAATGGATAGAGCACACAATGACCCACACAAGGGTCACTGCAGATGTACCCCTGGGTCTCATGCAAATCAGGCTGCGCAAGGCATCCACTGACTCAAGGTGCATTCACTACCTCAGCATGGGGAATGCCCCCTCCAGCTTCTTCCAGATGAACTCAGTGCCCAGGAGTCCGGTACACTGGAGGGAGCCTTCCACCTTCTCAATATCCCCCCAGGCAGACACAGGAAGTGGTGTCTCCCCACCAGGCATTGCTTGTTCCCTTGCAGCCAGCCCCTCCCAGCCCGGTCTCCTCTGGCACCTCAGAGCAAACAGGTGATTAAACACTAATGGGGCTTGGCTTGGTTTGACAAGAGGATCAGAGTCCGTAACCTACAGCAGCCGTTCCTAATCTGTGGTACGCATTAACAGATTTATTATAATTACTTTATATGACAAAAATTTGCTGGTGGTACTTAAGGTTGAATTGAAAAATTGCTGGTGGTACTTAAGGTTCTATCATTTAAATTGGTGGTGCGCAATCTGTCAGAGTTTGGGAACCGCAGACCTAGAGGCACTAGGTCTGGGACAGATGTCCTGTCTCTAGCTACTGGGGGTGAGAGCCTGGTTGCAGAGGTCTGCTGAATGGAAAACCCTCCTCATAACCACAGGTGAGCTGGGACAAATGTTTCCACCTCACTTGGCTAGCTCTGAGCTAGATAGGGCAAGCCCTGGAGAGCTGATAGCTATGGCTATGTTTTTGTCCCAAAAACCAGGGATACAGGAAAACTGCTGCCCTCTGCCATTCAGTCAGAGGGACAGTGTTGAGGCTCTTAGCAAAGTGAGAGCCTGTAGGAAAGAACAAGAGGGCTGCTCTCCACACTTCAACTCCCAGCAGACAGGTGACCGATGGGAAGTGCCCTTGGCAAGTCTGTTGCGGAGCTGTGGTAAGTGAGCAGTAGCAGGCAGGGTCTTTTCTGTGAACACCACTTCTCACATCTCTGCTACCACATACGCTGCAAATAGCTGTGACAGCACTGCACTGGTAATGGGCAGCCACCACCACAAGGTGAGAGTGGGCTGAGCCAGCACTGGTAATGCAACAGACTCTGGTGCTTGCTAAATGCTTGCAGCCCTGCTCAGGCAAGTGCTTGGTTTCTCTCTCTCCCATTGTTCATTGTGGTGGTTTGGGGTGGGGGTCAGCTCTGAGGCCTAGCCAAGAGAGCTTGCTCTCTCCAGTGTCCCTCAGACCCCTGTATTGCTGAAGGAGGCAGCTATAAGAGCAGCCAGTGCAGCCAGGTTCCCCTCCCTGGGCCCCATGAAAAGCTGCTACCTGTTGGGGTTGCTGCCCAAGCTGAGAGGGGAGCACTGGCCCTGAATGCAGCCAAGCCAGAGGAATGGAGGCAGGGGTTGGAGGTGGCATAGCAGGGTCTGTCTAGGGGCAGTGAAGTGCCTTGTTTGCTTGATACCAAGCAGGCGTGAGCATTTCTTCTCTATTCCCCTTTGTCCTCTTCCTCTTCCAGCTCCCCAATATCAGGCTCATACGGGGGGCTGGACAGCCCATGGAACATGATGTAGTGGGAGCTGCAGTAGACGGGTGGCTTGTTGGGGCAGGAGTAGACCTGCTCGGGTTTGAGGGAGGCAAAGGGGTTGGCTCCACAGCCTGTGATGTTGGTTTCCAACTCCATCAGGATCTTCAGGGAGGACTTTAGTTCTTGCTCACTGTCCGGGAGAGATAAGGGGCATGTTTATAGCCTGCCAACACACCCCTGTCCTGACACCACATAACCTGTGCCAGGATGTTCAGTAGGAGCTTCCTCTATGGCAGTGCCCTGCCAGTGCCACTTGGATGCCAACAACACGAGGCACCCCACAGCAGTTCTCGGGCAATGCCCCAGCTGAAACGCTCTGGTAGCATTTTAAAGCAATGTCAAGCTCTAATAGCCAATTACAGCATATTATTGCAGGGCAACATAGAATCATAGGAAAACAGAGTTGGACTAGACCTTGGGAAGTCAACTGCTTCAGCTCCCCTGCAGACAACAGTAGCCAAGGGTTTGTCTAACTTGACTCTTAAAAACTTCCAAGGCTGAAGTTTCCATAGCTTCTCTAGGTAGCCTGTTCCAATGCTTAACCTCCCTCAGAGTGAAGACATTCTTCCTTATATCCATCCTCAATTTCCCTTGTTGCAATTTAAGATCACTGCTCCTGTAGCCCTTATAGCCACAAAGAATAGTCTATCCCCATCCTTTGTATACTCCCCCTTCAAGTAATTGAAGGCATATCAGTCTCCTCCCTTGAGTCTTCTCTTCTCCCAATTAAACCCTGGTTCTTTCAGCCTTTGCTCCTAAGTCTTGCTTACCAGGCCTGTAACCATTTTTTTTTTTTTTTGCTCTCTGTTGGATTCTCCCATTGTTGATGTCTTTCTTGAAGTGTGGGCCCCAAAGCTGGATACAATGCTGTAGCTGAGGCCTCACTAGTGTTAAACAGAGTGGAAAAATCACTTCCCCTGTCTTGCAGGTGACAC